GACAAAAGATGGGATCGATTGCATGGTGATTATTCCGACTATCTGATCTGACTACAAAATTGAGCACGTACGTTTGGGGCATCATACGAAACGGTCCGATCAAAGCATCACATATATCCTCTACTCCGTAGTTCTTTTTTTTTTTATTTCACTCTCGAAGCGATGATGGATAATTTTGATTTGTACCAATTATGAAATTGCGCGTCCCGGTATTTCCGGAAGAAGGGTTCCGTGAATTTGTCACAAAATGTGGTAGGAATTCTAAAATAGAAAACAGTGAACGAAAAGTGGTGAGAAGATTGGCGATTAAATTCGCTCGTGGTTACGGAACATCTCGGGCGAATGTTCAGAGTTATGGTTGGCAGACGGAGTATGCAGGATTTCAATCCCAAGGAAACGAGAAACACTATCGACAACCATGTATTTAATCTCACGATTGAATTCAATTGTTGGAGTACGTGAATCTTGAAAAATTTGGTTACCACTTACCAGTCACTACTATCTCCGTGCTTGATAATCCGTACGGGGGAGAGAAACTTACTCACCTCGCCCAACTTGCCACTTGTGAGATTTCCAAGGAAAATCAGACTAACCCCGTTGAGGAATGGTTGCGGATTACCCTTCTGCACCTCGCTCAATGTGGCGGTCCGATCACGGCAGTCTGCTCCACCTGAGGAGCCGATGGCCCGCTCATGGAAACTTCTACGGAGAACGACGACCAGGCGGTGTGGAGTGATCGTATGCATGGGTTGATGATGGCTGATAGGTTTCAGTGGGAGTCCGGAGAGAATTCCGTACAATCAAAGATGGTCGAACTGGACTCCCTCAAGGGCCCGTGAAGATTCGACTATGGTGAATCAGGTAATAATCCGCTGGTTATCTAAAGCTTGGCTTTGGATTCTTCTCCTTTGGGCTGCCTTTTTCTTCCTGGTGTCCGAGCTTCTTTTTTCTCATGTCACAGTGCTACTGTAGTATTGTGTATTGGGGATAGCTTATACAGAGCCCTAAAATCATAAGGTATTCATTTCACCTTTTCTGACCTCAGCCGAGGTTTGACCCGATTCCGAATATCGACTGTTCTACGACCAAACTTTGTTCCTCATCGACCGACCGAGTATGGTTCTCAATTCATTGACGATACCATCCTTCATGTGGAATACAACGGCGATTGTAACACCATCAGACCGTTAATCCCATTTTCTGGTCTCGTTCTCTCTACTCAGAGCGCGAATACATACTACAACGCTGTACATACCTGGATCCATTGACAACACCACCGCCAGGCAATAAACCCAACTAGCCCATCGCTACGTGGCAGGGACTCGAATGGCCAGTACAAAACAAAAAAAAAAAAAAAAAACTTCAGTGGCTGGTCCAAACAAAACAACAGTTAACGAGATGTACTAGGTACCTAGTACGCTAGTACCTCCCAACTAGGTCACTAATTAACGAAGCTAAACGAGACTAACCATCATACTGAAAATCCGCCCCTCACCCCTAAGGAACCCAACTCAACTACTGCAAGTTTCGCTTGCAGATCGTCCACTTTACTAGTCCCCCGTGACCGTTCTTATTTTTCTTCATTCCGCCGAATCCGGGACACGGGCATTCTCGGGCTCCAGGGCTGCTTTCTTTTCAGGGTTTTTTTTCCTCGGCAGTTTTACCCTTGGAGGGTGGTTTTTCCGGTGCTGGCCGGAGTAAAGCCGAACAAGAACTGGAAATGTCTGGATCGGCCCCGTTTCACCTCACGCGGTGAACGAGCCAATGACAACTCGGGCTGAAGTTATCCGCGGCGGTACGAGAAACGCCACAAGCGGCCACATCTGGTCTCGTTTCCCTTCAGGGGACAAGAACATTGCTCATTGCTGGAGTACAGAGTACAGAGTACAGTACGGAGTACAAGCGATCTGGACTGCAGAGATGACACAAGCGGTCGCTTGGTAATCGAGGGAATTGAGTTTGGTTAGGTTGGTCAACCCATCGTCAATCTATACAGAGTAAATTTGGAATTTTCTATTGTCTTTTGGAGACTAGAACTTGCAACGTAGCATTCGTTATATTTAGTTTACCTTTCTGTTTTTTTATTATTTCCTATTTCTTTGCACCAGAGTCCCGGGACAGCTGGTCATCAATTTAGTCCGCCGGTGGCTTGACCGCATGATTCCTCTGACTGTGCCCGATGAAAAGAATGAATAATGAAATCCCAAATCTGACAAGATATCCGACCACTTCGGTTGCCTCGCACGGTAGTTGAAACTTGACAAACGGATAACCATGGATCCCCTGGAGATAAGAAAAGTAGAATCTCTTCTAGAAGGTGTCCTCAGCCACAATATAGAACAAGTCGATCAGTTGATCTATTACACTTTCCCCTGGAATCTTAAGCATAAACTGTCATCCTGGTTGTTCAGATTGATTACGAGTTACTCCGTACACCCGGGAGTTTCTATATATAATGGTGAATAATTGATGTCAGGAGAGTTGCATTGATCATCACTGGACACGAATCAATTATCAATTGAATTGGAACCCTTGTACGGAGGACGGAGTACCTACCTACCTACCTATGTATGCGTGTATACTCCGTCCTGTCCACGGCATACTCGACGATACCTTAGACAAAAACACAAATAACATACATACATAAAAACATACTCAATTATACTCCCCCCATCCCAAATAAGTCATCAGCCTCACCTTCCATAAGTAGAATACTAGAAAGTTGAAACCCCATAAGCGACCCTAGATAGACCAAAAAAAAAAGCCGCACTCAAAACCAATCTACTTCCCATCCTCTCGCCCGAGAACCCAGTAACTATGCCAGAAACGCCAACCCGGCATGCGGGTAACTTCCTGCGGTATCCATTTACCGAGCCGAAGACCAAAGTTACCAACCCGCCAGTTGATCCAGATTTCACCTTCCCCTTGGAGCATACATAAACACTCGGATTTAATTTTCAGGGGTAGTGAGTTTCAGGTTCAACCTTCTTTCCACGGCTGATATATTTAGATAGAAATCATGTGGTGGCATCGGCTCGGTTAGGGGAGGAGGGGGGATATGGCCAAGCCCGATTGTGCAATGTGCTTGTTGTACCTGCAGAATTGCGCACTGGAATCGGGTTCTTTTGAGGGGTTTTATTTTATTTTTATTTTTATTTGTTTTCGGGGAGGGGAGGGGATGGGTAGGCGGCTTTTGGAATGAGCCGTTGTGGGGACTGGTGGATCTTGGAGTTGAGGATTGTGTTGAGAGGAGAGGAGAGGGGGGGGAGTAGTGTTGGGTTGGGTTATTTGGTGAGTACTCTGTGTCTCGATGCGTGGGTAAGGTATAGGGCAGTGTGGAAGATGGGATGGAGTGTTGTACTGCTTTTAATAAAGGGTTTTATTCGGTGATAGATGGTTTGGTTTGGGTTGGGTTAAGTCGGTTTTTATATATCCGGATTAGTACCCTACTATACTTTATAGCTAGAATGGATGGTATGTATAGACTCTATTCTGTGCATGATAGCGGATTTGGTGGATCCAGGGAAGTAAGTTCGAGTATGTCAGTTGGCTTGAGTTTTTCTAGAACATCCCCATCCTGTCTATCTATCGCGCAAGTATACAACGTACTAGTACACAGAATCGATCCCTTCCTTCGATAGGAGAATCTGAATCCGAGCACATACTCCGTCATACATTCCCCCCCCCCCTTCCATCCCCGTAAAACAATGCATACACGATATGCAAGGAAGGACCACCGAAATGACGCACGTCGTTCTTATCTGCAGGCGCCATAGCAATCCAGATCCGATAGCATGCAGTGTACCAGGTACCTCGGCGCAAAGTACAGGACCAGGAAGGGCTTGTGCGCAAGGCTAACGACGCGATGCAAGGACGGTTGCAGCTGGATGCGTGCCGCTGATAGGTTGGGACGCAACCTTCTTGCATCGGACTTATCCGCGGTGATGTAGCGGTTGTGTACCGGTATACTGCTGGACTGGGAGCGTATATGTGACCTCTCATGTGGATAGTGGTCTTTGTTGCGAGGCGGTGCTTTGGATGTGCCGGAGGGTGACGGAAGAGGCTATCGGAGCTCTTCTTCTTGGTTTGTGAGTTGCGAGAGTCGGGTGCCTGTTTTTTTCCCTCTATGATGTCAGTGCAGTGATAGCCTTGTGGGTTTAAGGGGTTTCAATCTGAGGCTATTTATGTTCGTTTTTGAGTGGACTTGAGATTGGATGCTGGACGTCATCCACATACGGGACTCGCCGGTTGACTGAGTTGGTTGTTTGTCGAGGTATGACCACTCGGCGTTTTCTGAATCCAGATCATTTTAGAATTACGGTTATAAATAGAAGAAGACATGTTTGGTTCAGCATTGGATGTGCACTCGAGATGTAGTGTAAGTATGATAGTTTACCAAACAATTATCTCGTACTGACGATTTGGCCTCTATCTAAGTTGTCACTTTCTATAGACTACGGTAGTAATCCCATCACGAGTGTGGCTTGCATTGACAAACAGTATCTCATATCAGCTTTCTCATCATTCCCTCAAGTATAGGACGGAACCTCACTCCGCTGGCTTGATATCTATGACTGAGCTCAGATTCGTGATAGTGTAGGCAACTGGGTACAGTCGAGATATGTAAGGCGACCTGCTTCTCGCTGTGTTCACCTGCAGGGTAGGGCTCGATATTCAGGGAGTGCAGTCAAATGCCTCGGTTGTGGTCTGGATCATTTTCCTTATTTAGGACACTATGACATGTCGACTCGGCGCCTCGCTTCGTTACACTGTTTGGTTAACGATCTGCCAGTAGCAGCGCATAGCTTTTGTTTCAGCTTTAGATTTGCCTGCGGACTGATATCATGTACATGTCGGAATATTGGTGTGTATGAGAGCAGAAAGATACCGTCATTTTGATATGCTACATCCATACGTTGCAAACCTGACTGTGATATATAAAATGAGAAAGCGAAATGAGACAGATAGTTTCGCAAATGTACGTCCAAGGGCATGCTCTGTCAGCCCTGACTTCGGTCCGACCTGCCGGACGTATATTCTTCTTCGCCGCCATCGAACCCCACATCAACAACAACGGGCCTCTCCTCCTCCACGGGGTGGATGGCATGCTCCACATTGACCTTTGGTCCCTTGAACCACTTGTGGGCGTCCACCACCCACCAGATGCTCACCGCCAGCATCGGAGCGCCCCAGACAAGACACGTCCAATTCATCAGATCGGGTGTCAGGTCATCCCCCGTCACACTGGGAAGGCACAGAATTGGCACCATCAGCAGCACAAAGAGCACGCCCGCTGCTCCAATGTAGGGGCCAAATGGCCCCAAGTGCCATGGTCCCCGCCGGAAACGGTTACCAACGAAGAACACCCGAATGCAAATGGGGATCGCAAAGGCAACGAACTGCGCAATGGCACCGATAGAGAAGAGAGCGCCAATCGCTACATCCCCGGCGAGGATCAAGAGGCACATAAGGATCCCGATGATGGCGTTTATGATGACAGCGTTCACGGGGGTTTTGGTGCGACTGTCAACCTTTTTCCAGATCCCTGACAGAGGAAAGCAGTCGTCGCGGGCATAGGCGTACGTGACTCTCGACGCGGCAACCATGCATCCTTGGCCCATCGAGAACCCACAGATAATAGTTAAAGCGAGTATTCCCAGGGCGGTTTTTTGTGGCATCACCTGCAACAAGTATGACGCCCAAGGCTGCCCGAGATCAGAGTCTATCACCGCCTCGATATCAAGCACGGTGTAAGCGACTACAAGCTGCAAGAACCAGCCCATCAAGCCCCCAACGCCTGAAGTCATCACGATGGCTCGCGGAGAGGCGATGTTTGCATTGGAACACTCCTCACTTAGGTGGAACGGAGAATCATACCCAGACATGGTCCAGATCACACCGACAAAGGTCATGAGAACCGCGACCCCATCCGGAAAGTCAGTCAAATTGGTGATTGTCCCCCATACTTCCTTTGACGGCGTGAACTTAGGTTCATTCTTCGTCCCTGCCGGAATGGCAATGATGACAGCGATGAGCGCAAACATGTTGAAAGTTGAGCCCCACGAGTTGAACTGCGCAACCCATTTCGTTGGCATGCTGCTGATTACCGCGTGGAGGATCATGATAAGTGTGGTAAGGAGAAATGTTTGCCACGAAGTAGGCACGTAGTCCGGGTTTTGTATCGACGCTGCAGCCAGGATCATCGCAGCCAGTGAAAAGTCCACCGACGGTGCTGCTGTAATCTGTCCAATCCAGTTGGACCAACCAGTGATCCACGCCGCAAATGGTCCGTATCCTGGGGGTGCGAGTACTGCAGCAGCATAGTAGAGGCCGCCACTGGTGATGTCAGTTTCGATAAACGAAGACCAGACTAGTTATTTAGTAGGTGCGAAAGAAAACAGAGTGGGCGTACCTTGTTGGCATCGCCGAACACAGTTCAGCCATTGACATGGCTACACACTGGATGAAAAGCATAGCTATGATCCAACCCCAAACCATGCCTGCTGTTCCCGCATAGCCCATTCCTGTACGGATGTCAGCCCGTTAGAATTCCCTCGGCGACGGGATAGCTACCGTAGTATAATGTGCTTGCAAATGATGGGAGTAGCCCAAGCACAGCAAAGCTGACGCAGAATGTTGTCCAGAGCGAGAACTCTCGTTTGAACTCCTGCTTGTACCCCAGGGCTACAATGACCCTCTCATCCGCGTCCATTGCATGGTCCGTATAAGGCACGTCGCCATTGGGCAACACTGTAGTGACCGGGTCATGGTCTACATCGGCGTATACTGACCCCTTCAAGGCGGTCTTATCTAAAGGCGTCGACTTGCCCACGGAAGACATGATGACGATGTTCTTCTTGGCAACCGAGGATCAATTTAGAGCTTGGGGATTTTTTAGACCGAGAGACAGGTATTCCTGTAGCGGCGGAGGATATAAGATCACCGGTCATTCCACGGAACTGTCGCTGGGGGACTCAAAAAAGTTTGTGACGCTGCTGTGACACAAGTATAGCGTTTCAGTGACACCTTCAACGGTGAGCTGCGGGAGGGTAGGGAAGAGATGCAACATATATATATATACGAATATGTCCAGGGTTGGAGCTGCGTGATGATGGTGATCTCAAAGTAGCCCTGCACTCTGCACGGGGGGAAGAGTACCCACCCCCCCCAGAACCGTAGCCATGATGAGGAGACGCATTCTCTTTGGCTGATGCTAGTTCGCCCGATAATCGTAATCTGCGAATGACATGGATGGTGAAGCTGGGGAGGAATTCGCAGGTGGGGGGTTGTTGTTTGCTTGGCATCTGGTCACACTCTCCTTTGTATGCAGTAGACCATTCATGGTGCAGCAACATCGGTCTACTCCGCTTGGATCGCACAGCTATCTAAAGCTTGGCGGCATAGTCGGATAGTCCATACTCAGCAGGGCAGTTTCAGGCGGCGCCATTTTAAAAGAAGGTTGGCCACATAGCTTCGACCTCCTCTTGCCCCCGTAAGGAGGCCCAAGACACAAAAAGCCGGGGTTCCTTATCAGTCCGAGTGGGTGGCGTCTCGACGGACGAATGTTCAACCTCTGATAAGAGTAGCAAACAAAAGATAAAACGAATTACGGAGGATTTTTATTCGACACGATAACGCCTATTGATCCGATCAGTGACTCTTAGTGCAAAATATTCTTACTTTGATAGTACAGTAGGCTGGACCTGCCTTTATGGGAAACCCTGACCGTGGATATCTTTTGTTACCAGACTATTAACCATCATTGAGCAGATATATCGGCCCCTACATTTAGCAGGACTGTTTGCGTTGGACTTCCCCGGCGTGCCCGAAACGCACTGATCACCGGAGGCCCATTTGTAATACCCAACAGCCAAACTGAAACAAAGGAAGTGATAATTAAGGAGGCGTGTCTATGTGCTGTCACAATTCATCGCTGCTATTCTACACAGTACAGAATCGACTCCTTCCTCCACTATATAGCTGATAGGGAGCATATGCGCAAACATAACTCCCTGCGAGTAGGATATGGCTGATGGATCGTACTTCGTAAGGAAAAGTTTAGAAGGGCTACGTGATTGTTAGCACATCAGGAATCGGCAATCCTAGGAGGAGAAAACGGATACATACGTTGTCCTCGGGGGCAATGGAGCGGTCGAAGTACTCGTCGAAGAAGGGAAGCTGACGCAGGATGTCGTTGCGGACACGGGGAACTTCACCGAAGAAGAAGAGAGCGAAGACACCGGCGCTGGCACCGAAAGTGGCGGCAATCTGGGCACTGTGATCGCAACGCAGTCAGTACGATCCGAATAACGAAGGAGCAGAGGAACCCGCCGAATGGCTAAGAGATGAATGGGAGTATAAAACAGGTGGTACTCACTACTTGGTAGCAGCGCCAACGGTCACGCCTTGGAAGTTGAGAGGAGTAGTGTACCTGAAGACCATTAAGGATTCGAATTAGCAAGCCTCCCTCATCATTCTGGTTGCGTATTCAACGATTTCCCTGGGCTTCTCTGCCCGCCGGCAACAATGTAGGTCTCAACCCTGGCGATACGGCGTGGGCTGCCTTTGCTAACCGCATGCTCAGAGCTGAGGGTCGATCAAAAGACCATTTCTAAGACCACGCCAGGCTCAGAGTACAGGTACACCCCATGTGCATATCGTGATACGGTACTGTCAATTGGAAGTTCGGAGGATCTCACTTAGGGGCGAAAGGAGAGCGGTAGGCACCAGCAGTCTGGGCCGCAGCACGACGAAGGGTCTGAGAGAACTATAGTGACAAGTTTGTTAGCAATTGGTTAGTTTCATATGGTTTCTCTGCTGACGGTCGGTGCGATTGAACATCACACTCATAACCTGAGCCCTCGGAGAGTGAACGGGCTTTGGACCCAATTAAAACGTAGATACTTCAGACTGGGGTACACATACCATCTTGTCTATAAACTTAGAAGCAGGATCTAAGCAAAAACTGTTCTAATAAAGCGATGATTGACAGCAGCAATCGAGATTCAAGGCAGTCGTAGAAAACCGGGAGACTCCGCGACGTTCACAATGCTTGCGGCAACCCTATAGCCAATCACCGTCCGCCAATTGACCATCACGTGAAATATCTGGACTGTCGAATCAGAGCCTCGCTTTTACAACGCGGTTACTACTAGTACTAGTAGTAGTGCCTTGCGCATTGTATGAGATGCTTGAATATCCGATGCGGTCACTAGTAACTGTATTGAATCATTTCCATGATATCTAAAATTTCAAGCTATTTCTTTCTCCCTCTGTTCTTCTTTGGAGCCCATCAGGGCAACTAGGTGGCCTCTAGACATTGCTTCTCAGCCCTAAACCCTACACCAGACTTCGTCATTACTCCACTGGCAACGTAAAATGATAGCTTTTTGTAATCTGTATAGGTACTAAGGAGGCACTTGCGTGTCTGGTACAAATTATGGAGGAGCTTGCCGACAGCACATCACTCGCCCTAACGCCACCTAAACCAGGAGATCAATATAAAAATGGAATGAGATATATGAAGGGCATCATCAATGAAAGATATAGCACACAGTTAAAACCTTACAAAACCAAGAGGAAAGCCATTTGAAATAAGCGCAAGCGAAATGAAGGAGGGAGGGAAAGGTCAAGGGAGAAAAAGAGGTGATAATAAATATAATAACTGTACAAATGATACTTCTGGATCATCCACCGTCGACTAATCTACCTTCCCGGTTGAGCCGCCGTTCAGCAGACCTTCTTTCCCATCAAGGTGAAAGAAACCATTGCTGCCGTTAGTGACACCAAGAATGCCACCGCGGCCGGCACGACGGCCTCTGGCTCGAGCCAACAATGTCGCGCCAACAATTGAGAAGATCAGGATGAGAACGAAGAGTATGGGGTGGCTGACGATGAAGGACCGAGCGAAGAAGAAGATAGACTCAAAAGTGCCAACAGTGGACTTCGGTGTCAGTTTAGGGGAGTTGGCGATCACAAGAGGAATAGTTTCGAGAATAGAAGTACGTGAGGCCAGAATGGGAGACCCGCTAGAAGATGAGTCCCAGTACCGTCGGTTCTAGCCGGATTAGTTAGTATCAATATCAAAATTAAGGTCTTCTTCCGCCGAGGAGGCAACACTTACATCGTGATCGTTGATAATGACTCGTTCCCCCTTTTCCACATCAATACCATAAGCATTTCTCAACCACCGTTCCCAGAAGTCACCGTCCACCCAGGCGAAGCCGACCGGTTTCTTGTCATCTTCACGGATTGTGATGCGCATGTTCTTGGCAGCTCGCAACGCGCGCTGGTCGTTACGGTCATCAGCCTCCTCAATTCGGAGCTGTTTGGCGTCCCGAAGCTCTGCCCGTTCCAACTGAAACAACTGAACCTGCTTGTCCATCCATTCAAGAGCGGCACTCTTCAGCTCCCTCTTTGACTGCAAGAATTCGTCTGAGCGTCCCCGGCTTAAGATTCCGAGAACCACATACCTGCCGTCCATGATTTCTCGGGCGTGGAGGCGGTAAGTTCGGGGACGATGGGCAACCACACAGTGCGCATCCATCCCAAGATCTGTCGGAAGTCTCGCATGTCCTTGGGGGCAATCGGAGTATAGTAGTTGGCTCGACCGTCTCGGACAACAAGAAGGCGGGGCCAAGTTGAAATCTTGAACCGTTCAGCCAGGGCGGCGCTGTTCGTTTTCACAATTCGTCCATGGCCGATCAAGCTAAGAGTTAGGCGCTCAAGAGCCTCAAAATCCTCCGATGTCGTAGCGTGATCATAGAAGTACAAGAAGATGACTTCTTCCTTCTCCTCCAGCTCCTTGAAGGAAGTGGCGTCGACGTCCTGAACACCCAATCCAACGTCAACTGCCTTCTTGGCATAGTTGACTAGATCGCCTAGGCCCCGAAGACCATTGTATTCAACCCTCTCACCACCCCGGAAGAAATACATCGTGGGAAAGGCCGATACATGAGCATCTTTGCAAAGTCTGGGCTCAGCGTCGCAGTTGACTTCTCCGACGTTCAGGACGTCTTGCATTTCCCTGGCCATTTGCTGCCAGTTAGGGGCAAGCGCCTGGCAGTGATGGCACCATGGGGCATAAAACTTAATAAACCACGGATCCTGTGTGGTAGTGACAAGTTTCTGGAAGCTCTCGGCGGTGAGGGGAACAGAGAGTCCTTGAGGGTTTGCTGGACCTCCCTTTGGTTTCGTTTTGGTCTTCAACGTAGTAGCTTTCTCGGAAGACGCATCCTCGGCGGAAACTTGCTCATTGTGTTTTTCACCGGCCTTGGCGCCTGCCTCGGGGTCCTTGTCTTTAGCAGCAGGGACCTCTGGTTCAGCCTTCGTATCCACGCCCTTGGCGCCGGGCTTCGGTAGGTTAACTCCCTTGGCAGGACGAGACCCAGGCTTGATCGATTCAAGTTTGTCTTCCACGTACTCGCTCAGACCTTCCATTGACTTCTTTCCCGTGTACTCCTCCACCCTTTCACCATTGTGATACAGCGAGAATTGCGGGAAGTACTTGACATCCAATTTCTTGCAAAAGTCGCCATAGGCTGGCAGTTCAGCGATGCGAAGTGAAAATTGTAGAAGCCATGGAAGGAGTTCAGAGACTTAGTATCGGATGGTTTCGAAGAGGACGAGGCCAAAGGATCCGAAGTCTACCTTTTGTTAGCGGGTTTGAACGGGCACACTCTTTAATCGGCAAGGCCACAGCACTTACATAGTAGTATTCATAGAGTGTCTGCCATGTCGGAGCGATCTTTTGGCAATGCGGACAGGCAGGAGAGAATTGCTTAATAAACCTGGTAGATGTTAGAGTTGGCATCTAGGCACCGGAGTGAGAAGGGTTCTAACCAGTAGCCGTCCTTGACGGTTTCCTCGAAGTTATCAGGCGTCAAATCTTTCATGGGAGGTACTTCAACACCGTTGAAGGTAGTAGACAGGGTACCCGGGTCGACGGGATCGTCGGCTCTCTTCACAAGTCGACCATTTCTGGATTCAAGGACGTTGTCGGAAGAAGAAGCGAGAGTGGGGATAGAGAATAAAGAGAGAAGCGAACACGCCAGCAAGGATGCCCTCATACTGACTGCAAGTCAAGGTCTAGGACCTTGCAACGATGTCTTTGAAGAGAAGTGAACGTAAGAACAAAGGGCGATAGCCAAAGAAATTACGGGTGGTACATGAAGACCTAGAACGAGCGTCGAAATGCGGCTCAGTGGCCAAAGCAAGTTGGAACAACCGCCGTAGAGGAACTGGTTCTAAAGCCGATGCAGGCGATTATATTCAGAATGACGAGAAATCTGCGGACAAATCCGCAGGTCCTCAAGAGGAAGGATGGTCTCGAATGTGGGTGAGAATGGGTAAACCCCCTAGGCGCGGAGAGATCGATAAGTTTAGTTCCCTTCAGATGAAAGTGGCCGGAACGTCCTGGTGGAATCTCTGTTTCTCCGCCTCCCGACGGAACCTCAACTTCGCTCCCGAAGTCAATGACAACCTGAGATACCAAATTACATGGTCTGCCATTGGCCCTGATATCCTTCACCTTTTTGGGTCAATTCTTTCTCCCCTTCTTCTCATATACCCCCCCGAATACAATGAGGTCCACATTCCGGTTGCTGGCCAACGTCAAGCCGGCTCGGTATCTGGAGCCTTTTGCTCCCACCGGTATCACCGGCCTTGTCACTCATCCCAGTCCCCGCCCGACTTTAATCTATCTCTACACAACTACCCTGCAGAAATTGAAGGCCTTCCCCGAGACTTCTGTCTACCGCCAGTCCACCGAGGCTTTGACCCGCCACCGCCTGCAAATTGTTGAATCTACGAAACCTCCTGGCTATGAGGCTTGGTTGGAGCGCGTGAAGAAGGCCATTGGTACTGAACCTGAGCGATTCGCTTCTCTCCTTCGCCCAGATGGATCGTACGCGGCAGCTATGCGCGGCGATGGAAGCGACAATCCTCGTGGTGAGGAGTGGGATGGAGAAGCCCTCGAGCCGACTAGTGAAGGTCCTGCCCGTACTCCAGAGGAAGAAGCTCGGTGGCATCAGGCTATCGAAGATTCCATCAAGGCAGAGAAAGAGTCTGATTTCCAAACTCATGCTATGAAGTGGGAGAACGAGCCCGCCTTGGAAGCAGAGCAGTACGTTCACACGTTGTACTTTCTTCGGAACCAAAGCTAACAGTAAACCTCAGGGTTGCCGAAATCGAGAACCAGATTGGCGCTGGCCTCCTTGAGGAGGTCATCCAGGTCGCAGAGGGTGAGCTGAAGCTCGTTGATGAGATGTCCAAGTCCAAGGTGTAAGTTCTCAAGCCCCGAAGAGCATGATGCAAGGAATATGCTGACGTCCGGCAAGTTGGGAGGAGCTAGAGGAAAAGCCCACCCCTGGCCAGTGGTCCTACTTTGAGCGCAAAGACTCTGCATAAAGGCTGACTCCGATGAATAAAAGACTTGTTCATTTCTATGATCCTTAACCCCACTTGTATTTATTAGCCGATGCGTGTCAAATGGAAAGGAACGCTATCTTGTCGAAATTATATCCACTATTAGAAGGTTCATGTCTTCGTGCTCTATACAGCAATCAAGTTCGAATTTATACAGGGAGATTCTTACGCAATAGACGAAGGTGGTTGGTTGTTGAAGTATTGGAACATTGTAGATAATATTAATGGCCACGCTGCTGTGTGTTTGTGGGCACTGCGATCACTGTAGCGGACACTTAGAGTGTGTAGTCTTAAAGGGTAACTATTACATGGGGGTATAATGGGAAACCTACCTAGGTACCGTCCTAGCATTGTGACGAGTATGAACTGGAGTCATCCAATTGAGCCTGGAGATCTTGTATGAAGCCTAGAATCGTAGGCGGTGAGGGTTCAGGTCGCTAGGCTATTGTAGATAGCTGGCGGGTTTCCGTCTCCTTGTGGACACATCGCTGCCGAGTCCCTGAACATCTACATTGGTAACCTACAGGCCATTCCGGTCGGGGACTTCCTCTTTTTTGTGCGCTTTTAATACATACTTCCAAGGGAAGTTATTTGCAAACCCGGGCTGGGCTGTCTGAGCCGCTCGTGGCCTGGTTTCTTCCCCTCCGCCCCCGACGCCGCAAATAGTCGCGACATTCTCCTTCCCCACACAACATGAGACTGGATGTTAAGGTACGCCGTGTGTTGCTCGGAATGGTTTCTCATGTGGAATAAGCTAGCGCTTCTACCTCTGAACATACATTCCAAGGGAAGTGATATTGTTGCTGACCATAATTGCAACTCAATAGAGACAGCTCTTTGCTCGCTCGGAGCGAGTAAAGGGCATTGACTTCCATCCGACGGAGCCATGGGTGAGTTCCTAACGATCTCAGATATCGACATATCATACTGACTGGGCTTCAGATCCTGACAACCTTATACAGCGGTGCGTGGGGGAATCTGCATATAAACGGTTATAGGCCGAATGCGCTAATCGGAATCCATAGGTCACGTATACATCTGGTCTTACGAGACTCAGGTATGTATTTGATGAGCAACGCTGCGCTTAATCATCTTCTAACTGTCAATTTCCCTAGTCAATTATTAAAACCTTCGAACTTACCGATGTCCCTGTACGAGCTGGTCGGTTTATTGCACGCAAAAACTGGATTGTTTGTGGATCAGACGACTTCCAACTCCGCGTATACAACTACAACACTTCCGAGAAGATTGCCTCATTTGAGGCTCACCCAGACTATATTCGTTCGATTGCTGTTCATCCCACCCAGCCTTTCGTTCTTACCGCCTCCGATGATATGACAATCAAGCTCTGGGATTGGGAGAAAGGTTGGAAGTGTGTCCAAGTGTACGAAGGTCACGCCCATTATGTGATGGGACTGTCTATTAACCCTAAGGACACAAACACATTCGCATCTGCATGCTTGGATCGGACGGTCAAGATCTGGAGTCTTGGCTCTCCGCATGCCAATTTCACATTGGAGGCCCACGAGACGAAGGGTGTTAATTATGTCGACTACTATCCGCAAGCCGATAAGCCGTATCTTCTTACCACCTCAGATGATAAGACGGTTAAGATCTGGGATTACACCACAAAGGCGCTCATTGCGACATTAGAAGGACACACAAGTAATGTTTCCTTCGCCTGCTATCACCCGGAATTACCAGTGATTCTTTCGGGATCTGAAGATGGAACCATCAAGATCTGGCACGCAAACACATACCGACTGGAGCAATCATTAAGCTATGGGCTTGAAAGAGCGTGGTGTGTTGCATACCAGCGTGGTAGACAGGGTATCGCAATGGGTTTTGATGATGGTGCAGTGGTTGTTAAAATGGGTCGCGAGGAACCCGCTGTCTCTATGGACGGATCAGGAAAGATTGTCTGGGCAAGACACAATGAAGTGGTTTCAACAGTCATCAAGGGTGGCGATGCTACTGTCAAGGATGGTGAACCAATCTCCTTACCGACAAAGGAGCTGGGCTCATGTGAGGTCTACCCACAGACGCTATCACACTCGCCCAATGGCCGTTTCGTTTCAGTATGCGGTGATGGAGAGTATATCATCTACACTGCCCTTGCCTGGAGAAATAAGGCATTCGGACAAGCTCTCGATTTCGCCTGGGGCTCGAAGGATAACAGCAATGACTATGCTATTCGCGAGTCAGCAACTAGTGTGAAGATCTTTAGGAACTTCAAGGAAGTCAGCGGCGGCCTAGATGTCGGCTTTCAAGCCGAAGGTCTCACTGATGGTGTGCTTCTTGGTGTCAGAGGACAGGGAGGCATTGGTATGTTCGACTGGGAAACCGGCAATCTAGTCCGTCGCATTGAAGTCGACCCGAAGGCCGTAAGGATCACCAAAAAATGTTCATCCATAAGTCTCAGCCGCTAACACTGTTTCTAGGTTTATTGGTCCGAGTCTGGCGAGTTGGTAACCCTTGCCTGCGAGGACTCATTCTACGTGCTCCGATTCTCGAGGGAGAACTACATCAACGGCCTCAACGAGGGAGAAGCCGACGAGGATGGTGTTGAGTCGGCTTTCGAAGTCGTCACTGATGTCAATGAGACTGTCAGGACAGGTCAATGGGTTGGCGACTGCTTTATCTACACCAACTCGACAAACCGCTTGAACTACCTTGTTGGTGATCAGACCTACACAATCTCTCACTTTGACCAGGGAATGTATGTCCTCGGCTACTTGCCTCGCGATGGCAGGGTATATCTGGCCGATAAGGATGTCAACGTTGTTTCTTTTGGTCTATCACTTAGCATGGTCGAATACCAGACTGTGGTTCTTCGTGGAGATATGGATATGGCAGCAGAGCTGCTGAAGGACATCCCGCAGGACCAGATCAACAAGGTTGCGCGGTTCCTCGAGGGTCAGGGCTACAAGGACATGGCTCTTGAAGTTGCCACTGACCCCGAACATCGTTTCGACCTTGCCCTTTCTCTCAACAATCTTGACATTGCCCTCGAAATTGCTCGTGAAGCTAACGTCGAACATAAATGGAAGACTGTTGGTGATGCTGCCCTGGCAGGATGGAATCTGGATCTGGCCCAGGAATGCTTCACCAATGCGAAGGATGTTGGCTCCCTCCTGCTTTTGCACACCGCCAGTGGCAACAAGGAGGGTCTCCGTAACCTCGCAGAACAAGCGTCCGAAGCCGGTCTGCACAATGTTGCTTTCTCTACCTTGTGGTCTCTCGGTGATATCGATGCCTGCACAGACCTTCTCGTGCGGACCAACCGTCTCGCGGAAGCCGTCCTTTTCACACAGACCTACAAGCCATCCCGGGCACCCGAGCTCGTCGCTCAGTGGAAGCAGTCGCTCGAGCAATCTGGAAAGACAAAGATCGCTCGCCTGATCGGTGTACCTCCCGGTGCTCCCGACGCTACCGCTGATGACGACCTCTTCCCTGAATGGGATGAGTACCTCCGCCTGGAGAAAGAAGGCGTTGTCCCTGAGCCTCCTTCTTCAGAGTCCCTTATCGACGTTAACGATGACGAACAAGCCGAGTCAGCAGCTAACGGGGCTCCCGAAGTAGAAGCCGAAGCATGAACGGAGAGGTGAATGACAGTGGGGTGCAGAGAGATGTTGGGTGTATCTATTACCTTATTGTTCTAGAGTTATTTGTTCTACCTATTTATTCCTCTTCTACCATTTTGCCCGCTATGACTTAAAATATTATTACGTCTCATATCCACCATGGCCCTTTGTAGAGATCGCATCCATTGTTCTTTTGAACACGAGGTTACTTAGTATCAACTTTATCCCGGCTTGCTCTCTGCCCGAACCCTACCTGCTTCCGGGATACTACGGATCAGACGCCATAAACAGGAGAAGTAACATCATTACTCATAAATTAGCTCAATTCAAAGGCGACACTTGATGTTTTCTACCCTTTATACTTGTACGAAAGAAGTTGAGAACTATATCTCTTAAGGCTGAGGATAACATCCGACCCATCAAACTATGCCCTTGCCCCAATGAGCTTCCCCTTAAAGCTGCTCTAGCCGGATTCTCTTAAAGATAAGACCGTGTTTCCTGACATTGTCCTGGTTCAAATCCATATAGTCGCATTCTTCGAAATTTGGCCAGTATCTTCAAGTAGTTTCTCTCATCTCTGAATCATCAACAACGCATAAGGAAATGGCACACATACGGAATTTGACACTGGGGTCAGGGGCTGTCTTATATGGATCTCTATATCGAAGAAAGTCAATCCAGGTTGGCGTAGTCGATGGCTAGCTACTTTTGGAAAAAGCTGTTTAATACTAAAGTTAGTATCATCTACGCAATATAACATGACTATTACCAACCAAAAGCTATTCTCTGGAGCATCTTAAGGATATCTCCAAAAGTGAGTAGCCTCGAAAGAAACTATTAAGCACTGCATAGAACCCAATTCCCCCCGGGGAATACGGCAACTTATAGAGTAAGGTAGTACTAGACTGGCCACCGCAAAACAGAGATAGAAAAAAAACACACACATGTCAATCGCCAGTTTCACCAGAATTACGTATTACACACTATGGAACCACCAACTACCGGTGTCGGTTACTCGACATGGCCGATATCGTGTAATCGGCTCGTGGTGGTACATGTCTGGCGCCACTTCGGCTGCCGGTGTGCCTTTCTAAGTATGTGTGGCAAAATGTCACACCAGATATGTTGTGTGTCAGGGGAAGAGCGGTAGTGTTGTTATGTATGCGTCATAGTGTAGTTGTGTAGTGGGCAGATTTGGTGGATATTTTCATAGATGGTGGTCTCTGGACATATTTTGTTTTCTTTATTTTGTCCGGATATATTATGCTGTGGGACTACTACTACCTTGCATTAGTTCGATCTATGGAAGGGGGTCTGGGCAGTGATTTTCGGTAGCCGGTTTGGGTGTAGTTCTTATCGTGACGGACGAGTTAGGTGATTCGGCGAGGTGTATAGTAGGTGTAGAAGGCTGATGATATTCTTTGCGGATGAGAAAGGAGGTTACTATTAATATGTGTCTTGGGCAGATCCCGATGAATTTATTGATTGACTGAGATTGGATATAATGGTCGTTTGGGTGTAGGCAATGCTCTATGGGAACCAAATGAGAAGCGTTCGAAAGTACAAATCCATTGGAACTGTAACACAGTAGTCTAGTTCTTCATAGTCAGGAAACCCGGGGATGAGTATCTTAGGCAAGAGTTGACGTCGATTCATCGAGTCAAGAGTAATATTGCGATATGGCATCTCCGGGCTGAACGGAAACGTTGGGGAGGGCTAGAACAAAATTACGACATCAGGGAGATTCCTACCCCTTGGTATATAGGGAAACCGGTTTCCAGGACTGGGCGTCCTCGTACCTTCACAGTCGAGCATACCAGGCGTTGGCGCATACATTCTCCAGATCGGCTGGAGCCTATCGCATGCGACAGTACCCACCCGGCGTCTATATCCGAACATTCCTGCAGCAAGTCATGGAGGTCGATCCGGCCAATGAAATCCATTGAACTTCTTTTTCCGACATGCGACTAACTAGCAGCGTAGTGTCGACTGCACCGGTGTCTCGAGGAAACGTGAGATCGGAGCATGTCTTGCTTCAGCGACCGAAGTGTGGATGAATGTTTGCCATCTCGAAGAATGGTGACTACCGGGGGATTATTTCCAGCTCAGGACTATGTATATGCCACGATGCCACGACTTTTGTGTGATAGAGTTCAAGAGCGGAGATTTACAGCGGTGATTACTATCGCAAAGATCAGCACAGTACCGGCAAGATGATCAACTGGGGCAACATACTACCCACACTAACCGCCTTTATCGCCTTTATCCTGGGCATGCTATGCCTCTTTGCAGGAACCAAGACAAACCTTTTATTAGATACAGATGTTTTCACGGTATGTTCGCCTTTGTCACACTCTTGTATGAGCGGGGACTGAACGACCGTCGAAGATATATACGACGAGTATAAGCAATGACACGGGGGTGCGAGACTTCTATTCAATATATGTCATGTCCTACTGTGAGGGATTCCTGCATGCAGAAAATCGAAACTTGACCGGATGTTCACCCCCGTCGCTACTGTTCGCCTTCAATGCGACAGAAGCGTTAACTCAAGATGCTGGCAACAGCACCTCATTATCCAGCCTGGGATGGCCGAGTTCCATCACCGATGATCTACGCACGTTCGGTGCTACTAGCCAGAGTATGGGCGTCTTCTACTGTATTGGGATAGGGTTAGCGGGACTGGCGATGTTCGAACGACTGTGGTTCTTGATCGCCAAAGGGCCGAGACAGACGGTTGTAGAAGCTTCTTCTCTCATGGTAAGCTCCATTGGACGTTCTAGACCCCGTCCGGTACTAAGAAGGAGGTCCACAGCTCAGTTTCACGATGTTCAGCATTCCGTCCATTATTGCAACGGTCATTGCGCTACAATTTGTGAGCCTCATCAACCGCCACGGAAAAGAGTCCGGTGTGACGGCGAGGTATGGCCATCAATTTTTAGGAATGACATGGGCTGCCGTTGGGTTGTTACTGGTGGGAGGCATTGTCAGTTTACTGACGGTACTGGTGGACCGTAACCGATCGGCCAAGTATGAACCGGTGGCAGAACCGAAAACGGTGGCCGAGGATTCGGACTCGGTTGGGTCGAACGAGAAGGGAGACTAAGAAGGGAACGGGAATGGAGAGGAAGAAGAAGAATAATAATAATTATCATAAAGGGAAAACTTAACTAAAGCAGGAAAAGCAGGAAAAAAAAAGAAGACCAGAGAAAGCCAAGGAAAGGGAGTGAATCGGGAGGAGTGATTCTGGTGCAAATACGTTGGGTTGGAGCCCAATGTTGGTTGGATATATGTTGAACGTAACGATAAGAGCCCCACCGAACCTCGACAGTTCTATAGAAGAAATTCCACGATTCTCCGTTGATTTTGAAGTGGACCTTTTGTCGCAATACAATAGCAGCATGGCAAGTGGGAAGGGGGTCTTGAGATCATAGTCATAGTGTGAGGAAAAAATTGGGTCTTCCCGCGGATGGCGACGTCACGAGTGGACCCCGTGAAGGTCTCGCCAAATGAGGCAACCCGGTTCCCTCCGCTATACCTGCGATTGTACGCAGTATCGTTGATAGTGGGTCACTCGATGGATTCCAACGATGTCAAATGATGACGTTAAGTTGACTACGACTGTTGCTGTCATGACTGGAAAGGAAAATTATCGGGAGGAATTGACCAGTATTATTCGCGGGGGGGATGGAGAGACTAGTAGCAGTAGTGGTCGTTCAGTTCAAGTCGTGCAGGGGAATCCACTTGGGGATGAGCAGGGGTTCACTTCATCGACGACTGAGGACGGAGTACAGACTGAGAATAGGCGCATTAACCCGTTCGGCTAAAGGGGAGTTGCTACTAGGTACGACTAGTAGTTTGAGGGTCACCTAGCGGCGTGTAACCCCCGACTGAACCATGTTCAAGCGTTAGGAAGTTAGTACTGCCTGTGTAAAAAAGAGAGAGAGAGAGAGAGAGGATCGGGTGACAATTGGGTCGCCAGTTCCTGCGTAACGTGATACCGAGTCCATTCATGACCCTATCGCCAGGACGATCACGGAATGGTCCGGATCAGAAATTCAGAGCCGCTGGTTGGATTGATGACTGGAACGAATTACTAGTAATACCCAATCCAATGACGAAAACCAATCCCATCGTTTCCTGTTTTTGCACGGGAATAGCCACAATTCCCCCCCAGCAATGAAAAAGAGTCTGAGCCCTCCGGAAGACTGCGTTCCTAGTCCCCATGTGTTGAGTTGATACTATTCCCATAGGCACATTTCCCCCCTTCCCCACTCGAGTTCCACCAGTCGTGAATGCGCATCGTGTAGGGGTTCCATTCTCGCCCAGAGTTTCGTTTCTTTGCCGTTCCATACAAAGTGTCACTGCATCATTCCTTCCCTTTTCATTCACCCCTCTCTTGTCCGCCATCGTGAAATGGTTTGTAGTACATATACCCCTCGTTACCCCTCCTTCGGTTTCCCAAGAAATTAACATCATCATCAACAACAACAACAATCACTTCTCCTACTTCAACATCTCTTTCTGATACCCTATCCGCCTTTCTCTCATATCTACTACATATCTACTACCGCTACTCCTGTCATATACTCCCTCTCCCATCCTACTTCATCATCACCATCATATTCCCCCTGTTAAACCCAACCTCAGGATACAACTGTCAACCATCCATCATGGGGAAAAAGGCTATCCAGTTTGGCGGTGGAAACATTGGCCGTGGCTTCGTGGCTGAGTTCCTCCACGCTGCCGGCTATGAAGTCGTCTTCATTGATGTCATGGATAGCGTCATCAACTCTTTGCAGCAGACCCCGTCGTACGATGTCACGGAGGTCAGCGAAGAGGGTGAAAGCACCAAGACCATCACCAACTATCGCGCTATCAACTCGAAGACGCATGAGGCCGACGTTGTTCAGGAGATCGCATCGGCCGATGTGGTTACCTGTGCTGTCGGCCCCAACATCCTCAAGTTTATCGCGCCAGTCATTGCCAAGGGTATTGATGCGCGCACCGAAAAGAAGCCCGTGGCGGTGATCGCCTGTGAGAACGCTATCGGTGCTACGGATACCTTGCACGGCTACATCAAGCAGCACACCAGCCCTGACCGTTTGGAGACCCTCTCCGAGCGTGCCCGCTTTGCCAACTCGGCTATTGACCGCATTGTCCCCAACCAGCCCCCGAACAGTGGTCTCAATGTTCGCATCGAGAAGTTCTACGAGTGGGCCGTGGAGCAGACTCCTTTTGGCGAATGGGGCCATCCCGACATCCCTGCCATCCACTGGGTGGACCACCTCGAACCTTACATTGAACGCAAGCTCTTCACCGTCAACACCGGTCATGCTACCACGGCTTACTATGCCCACAAACGTGGCAAGAAGATGATCGCTGAGGCCCTCGAAGACCCAGAGATCCGCGAGACTGTGCACAAGGTGCTCGAGGAGACTGCCTCTCTCATTACAGACAAGCATGAGATCTCAGAGCAGGAGCAGAAGGAGTACGTTGACAAGATCGTCAGCCGTATTTCCAACCCGTATCTCGAGGACAACGTTGACCGTGTGGGACGTGCTCCTCTTCGCAAACTGTCTCGCAAGGAACGCTTCATTGGGCCTGCCTCGCAGCTTGCAGAGCGTGGCAAGACGTTCGATGCTCTGCTGGGCGCCATTGAGATGGCTCTTAGCTTCCAGGACGTCCCAGGCGATGAGGAGAGTTCCGAGCTTGCTCAAATTCTGAAGGATAACTCGGCCGAGGACGCCACCTCCCAACTCACCGGTTTGGAGAAAGACCACCCACTTTATTCTCATGTGGTGAAGCGTGTTTCCACGGTCCAGCAAGGCGCCAAATAAGTGATGAGATCCCCGGTCGTTTTACACCCCACCACCCTCCTTTTTATTACCAGCAAACGAAGGGTTCCGAGTCCATCACAATATGGATCGCCCGAGGGATATTTGATATGATATCAAATTGTTCTGTCCGCTGGCCGGGCATGAACTGCATGGGATACGGCGAACATATGGACGGCGCGAATGGAAGCATTCAATGGGATCTCGGGTTAGCATACATGATGATTTGTATTGACTTAGTGCAGCGCATTAGAGTCTAATGAGATTAATGATTATGAGATTATCCTTTGGTCTTTGTAGTTGGCATCTGTAGTATAGGCATTCCTCGCAAATGTACACCTGTCGTTCATCTATAACTTACTGTCCGCCCACTGGGGTTTCCTCTTCTCCACAAACGCCCTCAATCCCTCTTTGATATTCTCGCCCTCATTTAACCGCTTCTGCCAGCCTTCGATCAACCAGCGACTGCCCTCCTCGGCTCCAACACCCTCCCAACCCAACTTGACACCCTCCCGACTGACGATCACCGCATCGGGACTATTCGCCGCGATCTGGCCCGCGATCTCCAATGCCCGCGTCACCACTTCCTCCGGCGTGGGCAGCACCTCGTTGACAAACCCCCACTTCTCCGCCTCGGTCGCCATCACCCGGCGCCCCGTCAAGACCATCTCCATCGCCCGCTGTCGCCCGATGGTCCGGACCACCCGCGGCAACGCCCCCGCAATCGCAACAACTCCGCGCTGAACTTCGGGAAACCCGAAAAAGGCCTTCTCACTCGCAATCACCAGATCCGCATTGACAATCATCTCACACCCACCACCCAGACAAAGCCCATTCACCGCACAAATAATAGGCTTCTTCCCACTCCGGCGGGAAAGACCCCCGAATCCCGACGACGGCTGTTGTCGCTTCGCACCCTCGGCGCTATTCACTTGGTTGTTCCATTCTATTTAACTCCATTAGTACATGTCTCATCTCTGACCAGAACCCACCAATGATAGCAATGGAGGTTTCCGTATGTATATATGTATATACTACATATATCAAAGGCTAAATACTGAGATAACGTAATGACATACCCTTTAAATCCGCCCCAGCACAAAACGCCCGCCCTTCCCCCGTCAACACCCCAACCCTGATACTCGGCTCCTCGTCCATCCATTCCCAGAGCTCGTGCAGCTCATGGTGGCCGGCTGTGTTTATGCAGTTTAGGTCCTTGGGTCGTGAGAGCGTCACTTGCAGGACGTTTGGGGTGGGGAACGTCACTTTGGCGTGTTGTGGGGTTGGGGGTGGGGTTTTGAAAGACATTGTTTCTTCCTTTCTTTTCTTTTGGTATTTGGAGTTCGTTTGTTGATTCGAGCTGGGTTTCTGCAGGGGGGCTATTGTTTACTGGGGTTCTGGGTTGTCGTGGCCTTTATTTATCTTGGGTGTTGTTGGTTTAGTATGATGGGGAGGCGTTGCCGAGGGCCGAAATGCGGAGAAGGTTATTTTTGTGATTATTTATGTGGAGTTGGCGAGTTGCTTAGTTTTGAGACTAGTAGTTGTTTTGGCTAGTATTGACAACTGCGGATGCTGGGAGATGGGTCATGAAGGTATGTACTCCTTTCGAGTGCCCAGAGTGTTATCTACAATGTGTGTGTGTGTGTGTGTGTGTGTGTATGTTTGTGTATTCAAAATTAGTTCTCGATGACAAGGGTAAAAAATAAGCCCGCTTCAAGCCTTTGTAGGTATGCTCTACACATATACACCCCCCGGCAACGCCCAACTCCGTTCCATTGACACCCTGGATATAAAACTGTCGACTCATTCATCAATCAGACTATGCCTTGTTGATCCAGCCGCTGTGCACCATAAAATCGTAAATTCGGCCCGTTTTAGTCGCGTCGATCTATGTATGGGTCGATGAGTTAATCTATTCATCTTCGTTTTCTAGGGGGTGGGTGCTACCTTGCAGATTGTTCGCGCGTCCTTCTTTTTCAAGCTTCCTCCCTGCTTCATTGCCTCCTTGAGGAGGGTCTCCTTGATTACTAGATAAGGCTTGGGCTGGACGTGCAGTACGTTGCATACTTCCACCTCCTCCTTGGTTAAGAGATGAAGGTCCGGTGCGCCGTCGTTCTCTAGTTTCCATGGAATGACCCCGTTGAGCGGTTGGACTACGAACTTCGTCTTGGCTGGCTGCGGCGTCGTGGGACCGTCTCCGTTGCTGGCAAATGCTCGGTCAAAGTCGTTCATCGGTTGGTTAACCGGCTCCAGTGCCTTATTTGCGCCGGATGCCTTTTGTAACCGCAATGGGAGCTCTGGTGTGGTCAGCTGACTGGCCGCAGTGGGACCCTCGGGCTGCTGTGACTGCTTCGGTCGTGTGCTGGCGAACCGATCAAAGGACCCTTGTGGCACGAGTCTCTGGGCGCGTTGCTGTTTCTCTTGCTCGTATTTTTCTCCACCGATAAGGTCTCCAATCCCCATTTGTCGCCATTCCTGTAGTTGCGTGATGGCTAACCGTAGATTGTGCTCGTACTCTAAGCCTTTGTTGAACTCCTCAAAGTCATCATGGTTCATCATTCGAGCAAACGGTTTCGCTTTGTTTAGTAGATCCCTTTCCTCCTTAGTGCGCTTCTTCTCCAATGCTGTGTTCTTGCGGTATTCAAGTAGATTGTGCTCGAACAGAACTTTCTTGCGCTCCGTTCGGGCGGTCAGACGCGAGTTGTAGATGTCGACTACCGTCATCTTCAGCTCCATTTCGGCGTCAGTTTCACCGTTGGCCGTTTCACCTGCGCCCGGTTCGAACGTCATATGTTGGACAGCCTCTTCCGCATCGTTCATGAATTCCGTCTCAAATTCAAGACGACCAGGCATATAGCCTTGTACTTCGTGACAAGCCGGAACACTGGCAGTCGGCTTTTGTTTTGGTGTCGTCGGAGGGGCCGCCTTAGCCGCCTCCTTGCGCTCCTCAATGCGATGCTTCTTGCCGGACTGGAACTCTTCCTTGGAGATCGAGTCGGACAGTCGCGTATCGTCCGGATCGGCGCGTTCGGGTAATGGGAAATTCGGGCTGTCTATATATGTGCTGGTATAGTGATCTCGTACTTCCTCCTTAGTTCGGTAACCACCGATATGATCTGCGATATCGGCCCATGACCCCAACCCATAAATATCCGCGCCTTCCAACAGCAAAAGTTCCTCATCCGCTCCCCAATCTTCCTGGAAGATCGGAACCGAATTCTGTTCAATCACCTGGAACGGATGTGAGGATGGGTCGTGGTTCTTGGATTTCTCTCCGGCGGCAAAACAAGGAACGCAGAGATCGTACTCATGGCAGGCGGGGTGGGCGCACGATACACGAACCTGTTACACTGCAGTTAGATATAACCCGTGTAGTTCCATTGACATCGGTGCCTCCATACCGTTGCAGTCACGTCCACCGAACAGATATCGCAATGGTACTTGGTCCCAGCTTCTGTGCCGCGCGAGGCGGTCTTCTTCCGTATTACGCCCATCGATTGTGAGTCCCTTTCATCCTCCACTGTATCCTGAGCCGTTTCGACTAGATTCCGCGCCCTCTCGTGGTGACAGAGGGCTGATATGGAGCGATCCGATCAAGTGTGAGATGGTCCAGATGGGGAAGTCGGGGAACGCGAAGGGAGATCTCCGCAGTGAAGTGGGGATCAGTCAGGTGAGCGGGCGGTCAACTGGCCAGTCAAGAACGAAATACTCGGGACGAGAGATATGTCAATCAAGCGGGTTAGGTCACTTCCTAGTCACGATGCGCTGGCTGGTCTCTATTGGGAGCTGAAGTTGCAGTTAGCTTCGGTACATACCGGCATCGCCAGATCCCGGGCGGGCAAAGTGGCTTAGCCATCGGGGCTAGTGGGCTTGGAAGCCTGAATCTTCAGGGATCTGCACCGCCCCAGGGGCACTGATGCCTCAGGCTGCCAATGCATGGACCCAGGCAGCCATGTTCCTGACCCAATGATGGCGGGTGATTTTGCCCCCCTCCTCTCCCGTGCCCCCTTCTGCCACTTTTCCCCTCGATCTGTGTTTGTTCCCTTTTCATCGTTTAGACAATCCATCTTGCTTGTGTTTTTTTTTTTTTTTTTTACCTGGGTCGTTGTTGGAATTTGTTCCGGCCCTGGTTATTATTGTTGTGGTTGTTCCCCTCCTTCTTAACTTCCCCCTGTACAGTCTCCGATCATCTTCCTTATCTCTGGATCTCAGCTCCCTGATCCCCCTCAGGTTTCCTTCTCTGTGTGTTTCTGACCGCTGTGGCTGTGGCGGTACCGCATCTCGGTCACTGCACCAACCCTCTGGGGTACTAAGAACGACCTCCTTTTTGTTTCATTCCCTCCCTATTTTTTTTTTTTTTTATATTTAGTCCGTAACAAACTTGATCAAGATCCTACTGCATTCCGTTTCCTCTCTCATCTTTATCCTGGATATCATAAACCTCCCGTCACAATGTCTTGGAAACTCACCAAAAGTATGTCCCTTACTTTCTATATATAGCATCAATTCGGTCCATTCTGCAAGTTGACCTCTATCTAACCCACTTCATATAGAATTAAAGGAAACCCACCTTGCTCCTTTGACGCAAACCTTTACCCGGTCCTCATCTACATCCACTATTAAGGGCGAGTCCGGCGAAGAGACTCCCGTGGTTTCGCAGGCTCCGACTCCGACTATTTCCACGTCAAACATCAATGGAATCAGTATGTAGCTTATGTCTCTCGGTTATCACGAGCACGTCCTAACATGTGAGAAGGTGCCTCGGAATCTCTCGTATCGCCTCCCGTGGCTCCCGTCAAGCCCGGTATCCTGATCGTCACCCTCCACGAAGGCCGGGATTTCGCTCTTTCCCCGCAATACCAACAGATCTTCAATTCGCATTTCCAAAACAACTATGCTATGCGCCCGAGCTCTTCGTCCTCCCACTCCACTCATGGCCAGGCTGCATCATTCGTCCATAGTGGCCGTCCTCAGTCGACTAGCGGAGGTATCAATGCTGCGCCCACAATCCACGGTCGGTATTCGACAAAATATCTTCCCTACGCTCTGTTAGATTTCGAGAAGAACCAGGTTTTTGTCGACGCAGTTTCAGGGTCGCCCGAGAACCCCCTTTGGGCCGGAGACAACACCGCCTTCAAGTTTGATGTGTCCCGTAAGACGGAATTGAACGTTCAGCTCTATCTCCGAAACCCGGCCGCTCGGCCCGGTGCCGGCCGGAGTGAGGATATCTTCCTCGGTGCCGTCAAGGTACACCCGCGCTTCGAAGAAGCCCAACAGTTTGTGGAGGATCCCAAACTCAGCAAGAAGGACAACCAGAAAGCGGCTGCTGCCCACGCAGCCCAGGAGCGCCATTTGGGCCAGTTGGGCGCAGAATGGCTGGAGCTTCAATTCGGTACCGGATCGATCAAGATTGGTGTTAAATTCGTCGAGAACAAGCAGCAAAGCCTGAAGTTGGAGGACTTCGAGTTGTTGAAGGTCGTGGGTAAAGGTAGTTTCGGCAAGGTCATGCAGGTCATGAAGAAAGATACTGGTCGTATCTATGCCCTCAAGACTATCCGTAAGGCTCACATCATTTCACGATCGGAAGTCACGCACACTCTCGCCGAGAGATCGGTGCTTGCACAGATCAATAATCCCTTCATCGTCCCCTTGAAATTTTCCTTCCAGTCTCCAGAAAAATTGTATTTCGTTCTTGCCTTCGTAAACGGTGGAGAGTTATTCCACCACCTCCAAAGAGAGCAGCGTTTCGATATCAACCGTGCCCGTTTCTACACGGCTGAGCTGCTTTGCGCATTGGAGTGTCTGCATGGCTTCAAGGTCATCTACCGTGATCTCAAGCCGGAAAATATTCTCCTCGACTACACAGGGCACATTGCTCTTTGTGACTTTGGTCTATGCAAGTTAGACATGAAGGATGAAGATCGGACGAACAGTAAGTCACCTTACATATCTGCAACCCCGTTTGACTTCGTTAACGTTCTCGATAGCCTTCTGTGGAACCCCTGAATATCTTGCACCTGAGTTGCTATTGGGCAACGGATATACCAAGACTGTTGACTGGTGGACGCTGGGTGTCCTCCTGTATGAGATGTTGACAGGTCTTCCTCCATTCTACGATGAAAATACCAACGACATGTACCGAAAGATTTTGCAGGAGCCCCTGACTTTCCCCAGCACGGACATTGTACCCCCCGCTGCACGGGACCTTCTGACACGACTGCTTGACCGCGACCCCCAGCGTCGACTGGGTGCCAACGGTGCTGCGGAGATTAAGTCCCATCATTTCTTTGCCAACATTGATTGGCGTAAGCTGCTCCAGCGGAAGTACGAACCAAGCTTCCGTCCCAACGTGGTATGTGATAGAATCATGGCGCTGTCCCTCTGCATCTAGATTGTAGCTGACTCGAGTAGGTTGACGCGCGTGACACCGCCAACTTCGACCGGGAGTTTACATCCGAAGCACCTCAAGACTCATACGTGGATGGGCCCGTTTTGTCCCAGACTATGCAGCAGCAGTTTGAAGGCTGGTCTTACAATCGTCCGGTTGCTGGTCTTGGAGATGCTGGCGGCAGTGTTCGGGACCCATCCTTCGGCAGCATTCCCGAATAAGCAACTTCGATTTTGCAGTATCAACGAGTAGTTTCAAGCTGAAACCGCAGTCTGGTATGTGCTGTAGTCTTTCCTCCTTTTCTCACACAAGGAGTCAATGGCATCTGTTTAGCAGCTCTGATTTAGATCGTTTCTTAGCGATTTTGTTGTTTTTCACTACCTTATCTTCTTCATCTTCATTTTCCTTTTTCCTTTACTCTCCGGGCTGGGTATGCACTAGGATTGTTCGGGCAATCCCTTTTTCTAAGGCATCAATGTCAATTGACATCACTAGTTCATAGACAATGGTTCATCTAGGGTTCTGAACAACGTCTCGTTCTCCGACTGTGAGCCTTCAGCTAAACGTTTGTAGCCGTCTGTAGCGCATGGTATAGGGGTTTCTGGAGCTCCGTATTGACCAACAGAAATCTGCTCTAGACGTTCACGCGGTTGTATACTAGTGCATGAAGTGACGAAACCGTACGAATGGGGGGACTTTGACCGTTTCTATGCTTTTTTCCTCTGAGGCTTTTACCTTCTATCCCTTTCTTTTACTTTTGATGAAGTTATTGTAACGACTGACAGTCATCATATATGTGCCTGATCATGCTTCATCCACGCACCCTTACAAACAGAGACTATAAATTAGATAAAAGGAAAAAGGAACTCCAGAGTAGACAAAATCAATCAATGCTATAACGGCATCTCCATCTACTGAAGAATTAAGAACCAGAATTCAATAGTATCATATAGTAAAAGCCCAGGCATTGAGTAAAAAAAGAACAGATAGTTAACTAAAGTAGTGCCAGCAGATAACTCAACAACTGTTGATTACGCTGTGTCTAATGACATTGTCCTGCGTCTTCTACACATGAAGTCAGGCCCAGGGCATATGAAAGGAAGAGTCTGTAGTTCTTCAACATCTGCGAACGCTGGCTAGGTAAATTATGCAACAGCAGGAAGGTATCGACCTACGTCAGATAGCTATAGTAAACATATCTTCTGCTTTAGGATTCTTCCGGCAAAGCTACTAAGAGTACAAACGTGCTTTCAGCACTGCCAGTGCTTGAATGCAACAACACGTTTTCAAGTATTCGCTCTAAAGAACAGGAAAGGATCGATGCCCGTCACGGAAGGGCAGTAGCGTACTGGATCTGTTTCATGGAATTCTGATTGAGTGATACATTCGTATAGTTAAATACGGTCTTCTGTTCTAGAAACAGCTCCGGCTGGGATCTTGCATTTTAACCGTTCAAGCCCGAGGAACTAGATACATATACTGAAGCCGCTGGATCTCAAAGTTGGCTGTAGTGATATTGAAAAGCTTGTAGTCCGCACTCTCACGCAGTTTCTTGGTACATACAACCTTTGCTCACTTCTCGATATGGCGTCGTAAGCTGCTTGCTTCCTCTTATATCTCTATATCCAACCCTCTAAGGCCATAGCAATCCGTAATTGAGAAGATCATATCGGGATGAGAGTCGAAGTACTCCGTATTTTCTAGGTCCTAATGATTTGATTGTTCTTTTAACCTCTATCCGTGGTTCGACAGCCTTGGAAACTGCCAAGCTCTTGCATCTCATCGGTGTTGGTGTGCTTGATGGAGATTTTGCTATCAACTTTGACGGACGGTGATTGCAAACATCCTTGCTCAATTATTTCCTATAGCTCTCAAAATCATCTTTTCCAAAGGTGTCTCGCAGCCATAGTGTCCGAAGGCACATCAGCACTCTCAGAAAAACAATGCCAAATCCAACTTCAGTCACCCAGTTCCAAAAATAGCAACTGTAGCAAGATAACCTATACAGCCCCCAGCGGTGAAATTCTCCCAACACTCCCTCCCAAGAAAACATGAGACACAGCCATTATCACTAGCATAGCTATTTGTGATATATCACAAGTACACAAACATCGCCTGTCAAAAGCAAAAGCAAAAGCAAATCCCAAGCCGCGTATCAAGCAAGCAGTCGGCTCTTGGCCGATCTGCAAGATGCACGATACCCAAAGTTAAAGCTGCTTCCCACGACACGTCTGAACTTTAGGCAGCAGTTTCCCCCGGGCCATTACCGAGATGGGACTGAATCTCCGAGATGCAGCGTCGGCTCTTGCTGAAGAACATAAATAGCCCGCTGGGTTTGCGTTGGCGGGCGTGGCGGAGCCCCTTACGCCAAGGCAGACTCGTCGAGGTTGAGATAGAATGGCGGTCGATCGGGTATGTTGATGCCTATGCTGGGTGTTTCTTGCAGGCGTCGTCATCTGTAGATCTATCGGCGTTGGCTGGGTATATGGAGCTATGTTTCCTAGCCAAGAATAGAAGAATCGGCTAGGCATCAGTTACAGAGGTAGAGTTTTTAGGTAGATGTGCTTGTTCACGTGTGGTGTATGATATTGTTATTATTATTACTGCAGATTGTTTTTCTGGGCAGTGTGGAGCTCTCGCTTTTCTTCGGTATTGTTGTAGTTGGCAGATCTTGTGTGCAATTCTCCGGGTGTATTCCATATATAGAAATATTGATGCGTGGATTTGGTGCTCGTCGGAGAGCCTCGCGTGATGCCTTTCCTGTATAGTCTCTCGCCTATAGAGTTTGATATAGCGGAGCTCACTGTGCATGCCTCTTTGTATAACAAAACATATGCAGCTCCGTGATAGATCCATGGAGAATGACTAAAATCCACTATTCTGTATCATGATGCCATGGAGGCATGGCAATGTCTGTGATCTGTGTGTCTCAACAGCCCATTCGCCAGCTCGATAAATCACAGGGGAGGACAAGTCATAGAGAGGCATCAGAGTGCCAACCACCGATGGTACAATTTACCGCGTCATCATACCATAGGCAGCCATATTTACGATTACCCCAGGCTCATGCTATGTGCTTGCATAGCCGATGCGCTGAATCCAGACGAGCATCTAAAGGCCGGTCACACTTCTGAGACGTGTCGACTCTCTGAAGCTTTATCTCGACTCTTATGGAGCCCACCTGCTGCATATTGTCATAGTATACCCGATCATGAGCCGAGCAGACTCGTCAGAATTGGCAGTGCTCGTGTGGGGTACAGGCTTCTAATTAGTATCCTGTATCAGCATTATATTATGCATTTCGTGTGTAGATCACCCAAACCAATGGCACAGATGTGACGAAGAAGAGCAGTACGTTTACATTGAGCTTCTAGGTGAATCACACTAGTCAGACCTTCTTCCAACTTAGATTGCCGGAGCCCCCTATGGGCGGTATTGTAGTTCGTTGTCGCCTTTGGCTCCACCTTTGACGTACCAATGAGTTCTGAAACTCAGTGGCTACTTAGACTACCATCTTAAAGCTTGCAAAATAGGCTGCTACTCGCATAGCCTTGGCTCCCACGTATCTAGAAATTAGCAACCATCGGCTCTTCTGCTAGTCTCTACCTGCTTCTGCAGAAAGGTCAGAAGGAGGAAACTTGACAACGATATCAGATGCAGTATACTACGTAGTTACACCTTAAAGACAAATGCAGTCACCTGCGATACCGTTCCTTACAACCGTGAATAGGCAAAAGAAAACAAATCCTCACTCATACGTATCACCCGGGTCAAAGCCCTGGCTCTAGCATTACAGTCTAGCGCCGGCAAGTCGGCTCAGACTCCTCCTAGATAATACAACATGACGCTGGCGTTGTGGCCTGTCCATGGCTACTCATGGCGGGATACTAGACTAGGGCTACGCTGTATCATTACGGTATACTCAATCCGCCGTGATTTCTGTTCTATAAAAATCATTGAAAAGTGGTAGCACCACCGGAGAACCTGCACAGTAGGGTAGATGCCTATATAAGAAAGAGATAAATGAAAAAGACTTCTGCCTCCTGCGATCGACTCGCGTACATATCCCAGGGCTTGGATGGAGTTACGAGAACGTGTCGGATGGCATGGGACCGATTACTCGATCTAGGTTGGGAGTTCTGCGATTGGAAGCAAAAGCAAGAGACTACTAACTTGTTTGTGCCAGCTACCGATGTATATAAGCGTGGTTTCGGGTGGGTGTATGCATAGTTCTGCTTGATATAGCTGCCCCGTTACGCAAGGGCGCATGCGGGTATTTATAAGAATGATATGATGGCTGTCTGACAAACGGTTGTATCACCTGACAATGTAACCCTCCTACATGTAGAGGTGGCTTGATTATAGAACTACTAGTGGTTCTCGCTAAGGATCAGTTCTTAATGACTAGGATGGCAATTTCTAATGGGAAACAGATTTTTGGTGTCTCCTGACCGGGCCTTTTACCGGAATAGTGTAAAACAGGCAATAGTAGGTCTGTAAGGGGAGTCACTACATCGAATCAAATTAGCCGCGTTAAGCACACGGAGTCAACGCCTGTTTTGCATGAACTAGGGGTGATCAGGGCCCTCAGAGCGCTATTTTCTGGCTGCGTCTCGGAATCTCGGGTACGGCTAGCGTCCTCATCATTTACATTCCCTTGGCGTGTAAGGTTTGCGCCACATGGGGGGTCTGGCCACGTATGTTGGGGGCAGTATGGAATATGCAGAAGGTTTCAGCGGATATAAGCGTCCGGGTCTGGAATCTGCCTGATGCGTTCGGGTACCAGATGACATGCAAGGAGCTTCTAGAATGGAAAGGGTGCAGCACGGCGGCGAGCCATTGGTGGAAGGATAGCACATGGGTACGTGGACTGGACCTCGTTGGTGCCTCTTCACTATTAGCTGCAGGGTGGAAAGGTTAACGGGAAAAGGGGCAAAGAAAGAGATGGGAAATGATGAGCTGCGAAATGAACGATCGGGGGATCGGAGTGGCCGAAGCATGAACTGGAGGCTTCGACCGAGAGTCATGTAATGATACTCGCCTGGCAAGGCTGCCTTCCAATGCGTTTCATTTGTGAGCCCTTCTGATCCTGTTCTTGGCTGCCGTTGGCTGTTCATCATCCTCAGCTAAGCAACAGACCAGAGGGTTAAGCCTCGCTAAGATTTGTCCAAGAAGCCATGGCGATGGGCGACCTGAGGTGGCGCAACCTAATTAGATTATC